TGAAACCTGATAACTATAATGAAAGTATAGAAAAGTAATAAAATGATTAAATAGAATAATGATATTTTTAATTTTTTGGAATAAAATAAATATGTATATCAAATATTTATTATCTTTAATTCTATTTAAAGTTTAAATTAATGAACATTAGAAAGTATATTATACTAGTTAGGAAATACATGACAAATTTGTGTGATTCATATTTAGTTTCACTGATTGAAATCATGAGCCAATTGAAGCTAGACCACCATGGAAAACCTAGAAACACTGGACGGCATTAACACCGTTGGATGCCGGCTCAATGGTCTAGTGATTAAGTGCTCGCGAGCGAAATCAGTAGGTCCTGGGTTCGAATCTCATAGGGGGCGAGGTTGTGGATGCGCACTGCTGAGGAGTTCCATAATGGGACGAAACGGCCGTCCAGTGCTTCCAGGTTTTCCATTGTGGTCTAGCTTCAATTAACTCATGATCTTAACCATTGAAATTTCTAAAATCACCACAAAACCCCTTCTCATATTTAGTCGTTCATGATTAACTTAGTCATCGATTTTCTTAATAAATATAAGATGAACAGTTATTTTAGAACTTATTCTTAATGTCGTTAAAATTGTTTATCTTCAGGGTTGTTTTCTGTGTCCCCCAGATGCCCTGGTACAGTCGAGGATGGGGTAAGTTCACCTTCACTCTCCAAATGCTCTCACATGACCACGTGTATACAACACTGTCAGGAAAGTCCTACTCAATGCATTCTCGCGGCATTACTGTCGTTTACGAAATTGAGAGAACAAAAAGCGAATGTCCAGCGCTTTAACTGGGTTAGTGGATACGGAGGAACCACCTTGGAGGGCCAGAAAACCCTGATTAAAAACAAATGGTGCACATGGGCTTCAGGATCCTGAGGGGACAAATGGCTACCATCGGACTGCATCTCCTGACATTGCTCCACTGCCTTGTAGATCAGACCTTTAGATCGAAGGCTCCAAGAGTGGCTGCCTAAGAAAACCACCTTCTTCGGTTTGGACACCCATGCAGTACCACACCTCACACACAAATCAAGTGACTTGTGTGGTGCATATGTATTCGGTTCCCCTTTGTACCAACATTTATATGATCAAATAAATAAATCTTAAACAGAATTTAGTTGATAGATCAGTGAACATAAGACAGCATCGGATAACTGATTGATACTAGTATGAAACTCATCAAGGTTGAGCAGCGACGACCAAGCAAAACAATGACTTTCAGATCGCAAGACTTTGAGTCAATGCATGATGAAAACTATATCAAAGTTGAACTCATTTCTACAGGTAACCAAATAAACAACAATACTGTGAATTTCAGTATGATTATATTATGCTAAATATTGAGGAGTCTTGAGATAAATTCTGAATTTCTAATATGAAGTCTTAATCGATGAACTCTACTTATGCCTGAGTTCAAACGCCAGTTGATCGTCTCACTAAATATCTAAGTAAACAAGTAGGAAAATGTGAACCATTGTATTTTGTAGCTATAGTTAGATGCTCACCCCGAGACATAAAGGTGATAGATTAAATCTTTGTCGAAGTCCCGAGTGAACATTAATAAAATTCTTGAACTCTGATGAAGTGATTTGCATTTTTCGGATAGTTTATATTTTTAAGTCTATTTATCAGGTTTCTGTAAATCCCGCTTAGAACCCTTCTAGGATTACTGCTGATCCTTAATTCGGGTAATCGAGAGTTCGGTATGAGGTTGGCAACCTCATCCTGTAAAAAGAAAATTCACTAAAAAGGGGGTGACCAGAAAAAGATCACTTACACTCGGCTCTGTCATTTTCAAGGTTTAAATTCATAGGAGTTACAATGCCTCACGGTGAAAGCCGAAATTTTTCAGAAGCCACAATGCCGATGACCCTTTCTGACAACCTCAGTGATAATCAATATGGGTACGTAGAGTGTCCACACAATGAGGAAGACCGGAAGACTATTCAAATAGTGGCGGAAACCAGAAGATACTAAGTGGCTCTGCTGAGGATAAGTGTAACCCATTATGCACAAGCTGAATAGAAAGACTAGCTTTGGGAGTGAAGCTGCTTTATTTTAGTAGTGAAGAGGAAAATGCATCACACACTGAAGGAGGTGCACTAATGCTATCTAAAGAAGCAGGAAAGCACTTCCGGATGGGAATCTCGTAACTTCAGGACGGTCAAAATATCCTTCAAAGCAGAGGAGGAAAAAATGTGATCGATTGCTGCACACTCTGCAATGATGACAGTGTAGGGGGTAAAAATTAGTATTGTGAGGCCGGAGTTCAACGTAGAGAACCGCCCAGGAAAAGAGCTGACCAACCTGATGTTAGACCTGAACGCTAAGTTCTCTATGGACAATACTGAGTAGGAATAAATAATGAAGCGCTATGGACTGGGAAGGTTCATGTAAGAAATGTGGACAAAAAAGAGGAGATGATATAACTTTAGGTCACCATCCGGTGGTGGCCGAGCTAAAGTCAAAGATGAAAACGCATTCGAAAATTGGACAAGCAACAACACAAAAGTTTAACACACTTCTCTGTCGACATTTTAACAAGCTCAGAGAATGCAAAATAACTCTCAACAACTTCCACGTTTTGCGGGATCTTTTGGAAGAAGTGGAAACCACTACAAAGAGCAACTGGAAAGCGATTAAAGAAGCGAGAATTTTAAAATGCTATGAAGTGCTGGAGCCAAACAAGCACCAGCGTAAAGAATGGATTACTGCAGATATCCTGGACAACATTCAAGAAAGGAAGGCCAGGAAGACAGAAGTCAGTAATAAATAAACAAAAGCAACGAAAGCCAAGACACAAGGTGAATATACAAAGGCGACCAAATGAGTAGAAAAGAGTATTAGAGCTGAAAAACTCAAACACCAGGAAGACATAGGAACGATAGAAAAGAAATAACTCAAGAGAATCAAATATGAGACAACGTTATGATAAAAAGAAAGAGCTAGCAAGAAAATATGGTAAACCAGAGAGACCATTCAAGAACAAATAAGGCATACCAACCACTGCGATTCAAGAACAGCGGACCAGGTGGGTAGAACAATTTAAGAGCTACTGACTGATTCAGCCCTACTATACCCACTGGGCATCAAAGCGGAACCTACAGACCTTTCTATAGGTTTTTCTCTATCGAAAATAAGTCAGCAAGGTCATCAGACAAATCAAGAGTAGGAAGTAGTAGTGTGGTTTATGCTATTTATGTCTGTCAAGATAAGCAGTATATATCACCAATCAGAAGTGGAATGCATGGTAGCAGAAGATTGAGAAAATCATATCGAAGAGAACGGAAACAGAGAGTAATATTTATGATGGTAAAGGAACGATGAAGCTTGAGACAATTGATGAAAGAGTTGCAAATAGAGTATTGAACGTATGGTTTTTACATTTTACCAAAGGAATCCAACTCCAGGATTGTGTAATCGTTTGTCATATATAAACCCCAAATTATTGTTGAACAATAGATTGGATGTAAGTCATCACTATACATTGACGAGCCTTAATATAATAAGGTATTTGACAGGGTAGGTAAGATAATTGCGTGGAATCTTTTGCTACATTATACTTACGCCTGTTACTCCTCGTGAAGGAACATAGGCCGCTCACCAGCATTCGCCATCCAACTCTGTCCTGGGCAATCCTTTCGAGCTCCTTCCAGTTGTTATTCATCCTTTCCATATCTGCTTTTATTTCCCGACGTAATGTGTTCTTTGGCCTTCCTCTTTTCCGCCTTCCTTCAGGATTCCAAGTTAAGGCTTGACTCATGATGCAGTTTGACGATTTGCGTAGTGTATGTCCTATCCATTTCCATCGTCTTTTCCTAATTTCTTCTTCAACTGGAAGTTGGTTTGTTCTCTCCCACAGAAGGCTGTTGCTGACGGTATCCGGCCAACGGATGTTGAGTATCTTGCGTAGACAGCTATTTATAAATACTTGCACCTTCTTGATGATGGTTGTTGTAGTTCTCCAAGTTTCAGCTTCATACAGTAGAACTGCCTTGACGTTCGTATTGAAGATTCTCACTTTGATATTGGTTGAAAGTTGTTTTGGGTTCCATATGTTGTTCAATTGTAGGGATGCATTCCTTGCTTTGCCAATCCTCGCCTTTACGTCTGCATCGGATCCTCCTTGTTCATCGATGATGCTTCCCAGGTATGTGAAGGATTTTACATCTTCCAGAGTTTCGCCATCAAGAGTGATTGGATTGCTGTTCTCCGCTTTAAATTTGAGGACCTTGGTTTTCCCCTTGTGTGTGCTGAGGCCTATTGATGCAGAGACTGCTGCTACACTGGCTGTCTTGATCTGCATCTGTTCGTGTGTATGCGATAGGAGGGCTAGGTCATCTGCGAAGTCCAAATCGTCTAATTGATTCTGAGCTGTCCATTGTATGCCGTGTTTTGCCTCGGATGTCGAGGTATTCATTATCCAGTCGACCACCGGAAGGAAGAGAAAGGGAGAGAGTAGACAGCCTTGTCTGACTCCGGTCCTTACTTGGAATGCATCTGTCAGCTGTCCTCCATGCATGACCTTGCACTGTAGTCCGTCATATGAGTTCCGGATAATGTTAACAATCATCTCAGGAACTCCGTAGTGTCGAAGAAATTTCCATAAAGTCATCCTATCTACACTGTCAAATGCCTTTTCATAATCAATGAAGTTGATGTGTAGTGACGAGTTTCACTCAATTGATTGTTCGACGATGATCCGTAGTGTCGCAATTTGATCTGTGCACGGTCGATCCTTACGGAATCCAGCTTGTTGATCTCGAAGTTCGGCGTCTACTGCATCTTTCATCCGGTTCAGCAAAACTCTGTTAAAGACTTTTCCTGGTACTGACAGTAGTGTTATGCCTCTGTAGTTTTCACATTTGCTCAGATTTAGTTTCTTTGGAATCTTGACGAGGTGTCCTTCTTTCCAGTCCATCGGCACTAGTTCCTCCTCCCAAATCTTTTTGAATAGAAGGTGAAGCATGTTTGTAGTTTGATGTCTGACTTCAGTGCTTCAGCTGGTATATTGTCGGGTTCAGCTGCTTCCCCGCTCTTGATTTGTCTGATGGCCATTCTGATTTCTTCCGTCGTTGGTGGATTGACATCTATAGGAAGATCTGTGTGCACTGCTTCGATGTCCGGTGGATTCATTGGGGCCGGCCTATTCAGGAGTTCCTAGAAGTATTCTACCCATCTGTTTCGCTGTTGTTGAATTTCAGTGATTGGCTTGCCTTCTTTGTCTTTGACCGATCTCTCTGGTTTACTGTATTTCCGTGATAGTTTCTTCGTTGTATCGTAAAGTTGTTTCATATTTCCTTCTCTTGCAGCTTTTTCTGCCGTCGTTGCTAGTTCTTCCACGTATTTCTTCTTGTAGGCTCTAATGCTCCTCTTCACTTGTTTGTTTGCTTCTATGTATTCAGCTTGTGCTTGGACTTCCTCTGCTCGTGTTTGGCTGTTGCTATTACTGCCTTCTTGTTCTTCCTTTCTTTGATCTTGTCCAGTGTTTCTGTAGAGATACATTCCTTATGATGGTATTTCTTTAGACCGAGAACCTCTTGACACGTTGAAGTTAATGCTTCCTTGATGCTTTTCCAGTTGTCCTCCATAGTAGTTTCTTCTTCTTTCAGTCGATCTTGTAAGGCTTGGAACCTGTTGTTGAGAGATATCTTGAATACGTTGATTTTGTTAGTATCTCGAAGGAAGGCTGTATTGAACCTTTGTATTGCTGTTTGTCCACCTGTCCAGTTCTTTTTTAGCTTCAGTTTCAAATTGGCCACAACTAGGTGGTGATCTGAAGCTACGTCAGCACCTCTCCTGGTTCTCACATCTTCCATTGTCCTTCGAAATTTTTTTGTTGATACAAATATGATCTATTTGGTTCTCTGTAGTGTGGTCCGGTGAGATCCATGTAGCCTTGTGTATACGTTTGTGTGGAAATATTGTGCCTCCAATGACCAATTTGTTGAATGCACATAGATTTGCAAATCTTTCTCCATTTTTGTTTCTTTCTCCCAGTCCATGTCGTCCCATAATATCTTCATATCCAGTGTTGTCTATTCCGACTTTGGCATTTAGATCTCCCATCAGAATGGTGAGGTCCTTTCTTGGGCATTTCTCAATGATTGACTGCAGCCGCTCGTAGAACTGATCTTTAATTTCGTCGTTGCTATCATTGGTGGGTGCATAACATTGAATAATATTCATTAAGATCCCCTCCTTCTTTGTTTTGAATGATGCTTTGATGATTCTGGATCCGTGAGATTCCAATCCTACAAGTGCATTTCGTGCTACTTTGGACAGCATAAGAGCGACTCCCTGAGTGTGTGGAGCATTGTCCTCTTAGTGACCGGAGTATAGCAGCATCTCTCCCGTAGCTAGCCTTTTCTGTCCAGCTTGAGTCCAATGGGTTTCGCTGATTCCCAATACTGCCAAGTTGTATCTCCTCATTTCCGCTGCTATTTGACTGGTCTTCCCGGTTTCCCACATTGTTCGAACGTTCCATGTACCAATAAAAATTTTTGCTCTGGTTGTTAGAAGGGGCATCGACGTTGTGGCTTCCGAAGGAACTCGGCTTTCACCATGAAGCGTCATAATTCTTCTAAATGAAGACCTTCTAACTTTCAGGGCAGAGTTTAAATAGTTTGAACAATTTTTTCTGGTAAGCGTTTTTCAGCGAGTTAGTTTTCTACGGGATGGGGACGCTAACCCCATGCCCAACCCTCCTCCTTTACCCGTGTTTGAGACCGTCAGTAACTCTGGAAGTGCTACAGGCGGAGTTTTTGCTACATTATGGTGCTTGTGAAAAGATCGTCAACATAATACGGAACTCTTAAGAGGGACCAAATTGCAAAGTTGTGCGCAAAAGGCAGCTCTTATAGATGCATTCAAGTCGATGATTGGTGTCAGAAAGACCGCTTACTCTCACCTTTTCTATTTCTTCTGGTTGTTGGATGGATTATGAAAATGTTCACATTTCAGGGAAACCATGGAATACAATGGAGAGTTGGATGCGGCTAGACCTTTTGAACTTTATAGATTACCTAGCTCTTCTATCCTATGCACAACAAAACATTCAAGTGAAGACAGCTAGTGTAGCAGCAGCCTCTGCAGTAACACACATCAATATACACAGGGTAAAGAGCAAGATACTGAAGTACAGCACCGCCAGCACCAACCAAATCACACTTGATGGAGGAGCTCCGGGTGATGTGGAAAATTTTACATAGCTGGGCAGCATCATTGGTAAACAAGATGGATCTGATGAAAATGTCAGGGGAATGATCGGCAAAGCAAGAACACGATCCCTACAACTGAATAACATATGGAATTCAAAACAACTTTCAACCAATATCAAAGTCAGAATCTTCGATATGAAAGTCAACAAAGTCCTACTGTACGGAGCTAAATCTTGGAGAACTACTACAACCATCATCAAAAAGATCTAAGTATTTCTAAACAATTGTCAACGCAAGATATTAAACATCCATTAACCAGATACCATCAGTAACAGCCTACTATGGGAGAGAACGAACCAGTTTCCAACTGAAGAGGAAATTAGGGAAAGATGATGGAGTTGGTGGACAGAATGTACATTGAGGAAATTATTAGACTGCACCACACTGAAAGCCATAACTTGGAATCCGCAAGGCAAAAGAAAAAGGGGCATACTAAAGAACCCGTTGCGCCAGGACTTGGAGGCCGACATGGAAAGAATGAACAGAACTTCGAAAGAACTGGAATGGAGGGCAAACGACAGAGTTGGCTGAAAAATTCTGCTCAGTAACTTATGCTCCAATAGGGGTGAAAGGCATAGCTGAACATGTTGTTTGTGGAGTCTTTACCTGATATTGCATATTTTTTCGTTTGGATAAAGTTATATTTCAAATATTCACCTCTAACAACGATTAAAATTAAAACTAACGAAATCCAAATAACGTTAATTTTTTCATGATCTTCGGAAAATTTTGTAAATTTTTACAAGAAAATAATTTAGGATTCACAGATTTAAACATGAAGTATATATCAAAAATAAAGCTCATTAAGGAACATGGAAAATATATGAATTTCTGAAACGAGGAATTTAAAAAGGATGTTAGGCAATCAAAATTATCACTTACATTATTTAACCTCCGATCATGACAACTAAGTCATTGGATAAAGCTCGAGTAGCTCCTGAAAGACCTTCACAATTATATATTCCATCATCTCCTGGTCTTACATTTGAAATTGTCAGGGTACTCACGACAGTTGGCATTGGTGCATTACAGTTTCTGGGTACATTGCTTATTCTGAAACGACTGGGTTCCTCAGGAAGACATCCCCAATTGAAGCGCCATATCACATAGGGCACAGGATTGCCTGTGACTTCACAAACAAGAACTACAGTATCACCTCTACGAACAGAATAACGTGTAGTACGTGGTTCGGCAATCATTGGCGGAGCTATAAAGTAGTGATTACAAATTAAATTAGTTATTCAAAGCAATCAAACAAGAATAATACTAACATACCAACTAAATGCTTTTAAAGACAGTTTGTTTAACGGTAATATTTTGTAAATCATTATTGTAAACACTCGGACAGTCTGTGATAAGTGATTAGGGATTATGGTATGTTGAATTTCCTTGAATAACAATATTAGGTAAAAACGATGAAATATTTGGATTTATAATAATCGCATACTTTAGTTTATAGTTATTGGACCTTGAAAAAACTGATACTTAGATCTTGATAGGAGTAATAGTGTTACACATGAAACTGATTCATAGTTTATATTTTCCAATTTTATACTGATAGATGATAAAGCCTATGATTCTTTACGGTTGCAAATAAAATCGTGTCATAATTGACAGAAAGCACCTAAAGTAAGTCTAAATGACCTAGGTAGTTATCTTCAAATGTGCAAATTTGACTAAGTTCATGAATATACTAAAGATTCTAAAGCATCTCTCTCAGAAGAGAATAATAATTTAGGTGATGTTAATGATATTTTTGTATAATCTTTATGAAACTGTTGAAGAGTTATTCAGTTTATTTTGAACCTTATAATCTTATTGGATCATTTTCGCGGCTACTACAAAACAATAGAAGCTAGTCTTTACTTACCATTAAGCATTTGATTATGAACACAGTTTGATAACTGGTAATTAGGCAGAGGCATCTATTAATCAGGCGTACTGTTTATTATTATTCTAAATGACTTATCAATCTAGTCCACGCCACTTCATTCAGTCGCTTAGCTACAACATAGGACCAGGGACATATATGCATCAATCCAAGTGGCCATGCCTCAATAGCACAGCAAGATAAACACCAAATTCATATAAGCAGATAGTGCAATGATAGTAATATATATGTAGACAAAGATCGCATATAAGGATATGCTACAGGAAGAAAGAATTGGTTCGTAGAAAGAAAGGTATGAAGTAATTTTAATGTTGAAACGATTTTAATCTCATAGTTTAGGGGAAGACAAAGAGTGTATACATCCACGCCATTGTGGTCGATTCTGAGCCATGTCACCCAGAGTCTCTAACCGTTGGTTACGATAGTCACGCGGACCCCAACCAATTAGTCTGCATCTACCACCATGGCTCAGATCAGAAGTTAGTGACTCCAAGGACTGATGCCACGTTCTGGTTTGGCCGCCCCTGACTTTCTCCCAACCATCTCCAACACCAGTCATCATTGCGCGCCGTATTAATCGGTGTCCGTGCATGTATAACATGTGGCCCAACCATCTCAGTCGATGAAGGTTCGCAACCTCAACAACTGATTTTCCATCATTTCCTAATACCCTGCGTCTAGCCTCACTATTACTTACCCAGTGATCTCAGCAGGTGCGAGCAATATTTCTACGAAATATGTGATCAAGTACTAGTAATCTACGAGTATCTTCTACTCTGAAGGATCGCGTTGTGCAGTAGTGAAGTAGAACAGAACGAACTGCTGCACAGTATACTTGCCCTTTAATTTATAGACGGATATCTTGCCTTCGCCATAGGTGACGTTAGTTGGTAAAAGTCAAACGAGCCTTCTGAATCCGTGCCGAGATTTCGTCGGACGCCAAAACAATAGGGCTGATTGAACTTTCACGATAAGTGGAATTGTCGAAGCGTTTGACCATTTCACTCCACGCCACTTACCATCAAATAATTTAACGTTAAACAATAAATTCTTTTTATGAAATAGTCTAGAAGCTTATGAATGTTTTTTAATCAATAAGAGACCTTTCACTTTATTCTCGGCTGAATGCATACTATTACAATGTACTAAGAGCCATTTCACTGAGTGTAGAATTCAGGATCAAATATCAACTTCTGGCCGAAATATGTGCTTCATTATATTTAACAACAATGGTAATAATAACCAATCTAATCATCCGTACACATATAAACAGAAGATTAGAGTATAAGATTTTCTGTTTATTATCTATAGTTATCTAAAAGACATAAAAACTGTTTTATCTGGAAGATACGTTTGCACATCATTCTTCTTAAATTGATATTATTGACTTAATTCAGATATTTGAATTTTTAATCATCATGATGAAGACAGCACTAATTGTTTTTTGACATTAGAACAGTTTTCTTCTTTATGACTGTACACTTACATTTCATGCTAGTTGTTACTCAACAGTATAACTCATCTGGAATCTTAAAGGGATTATTACCTCTAATGAAATATGAACTCATATTACCCAATGTCAAAGATAAGTAGAATATTTGATAATCAAAAGCATGAAACTCTCAGTTTAGCAAAAGCTTAATCGCATCTCAAAACTGCAGAGTGAAAACAATCATCAATCTTAAATAGAAAGCTTCCTTTTGATTGCCTTCAACCACCTAACATTAAGGATATACCACTTTGAACTGATTGATTTTTAAAAGTATCTATTTATTCGCATCAGTTTTATTTTGGATTGTGTAACTAAACTTATTGTATTTATGCCTACAAACAGAATACCTACGAGCTATTCTCATGATCTAATGTAAGAAAAACTAAAACCTTTTTTGTCTCATTGTTGACCTGAAAACATATATACTCCTAAAATATGTATGAATAAACACATATTTTGAATTAAGTGATTGTGTAGTGAATGAGAGCATACAAGTAGGAATAAGCGGATCTATGCGAATACAAAATTTAAGAACCATACAATAAACACTTAATTTTCAAAATGTCAATCAATTGTCACAGATTTGATTATTCCTTCATTTTCATACCAATCACATTGTGTTCTAGTTTAAATTTCTTCGATCGTCTTAACTTTCTACTGCCAGGTATTTCACTTTCGATTATTAATACATACTACTTATATCTGTCAATATCAGTAATACATACTACAATTATAGTTTTAACTTTGTAGTTAAACAAACCATTAGTGAATAATTTATTTTAATTAGATTACTATGCACCACAGTATGTATATTAAGTAAATATCAAATTTATATTATCTACAATATATATATATATATATATATATATATATATATATATAGTAGGACTTTCTTATCATAAATAGATATTTTAAATATTCTATTTAAATTTAATTATCATTACAATGAATACTTAAATTCTTTATTTAAACAACAGTCCAATAAATAGGTTATGTAATAATTGTTTATTATTTATTAATTTTCTTTGAACTGGTTTACACATTTTATAATTTATGTTTGATTTATCTTATTCACTTTCCAGGTAGCTGATATATACATATTTTCAGATGGGTTTTGTGGATATTATAGTAATTTTAATGGTTAAGATCATGAGTCAGTTGAAGCTAGATCACCATGAAAAATCAGTGCTTCCAGGTTTTTCATGGTGGTCTAGCTTCAACTGACTCATGATCTTAACCATTGAAATTCATATTTATTTGTCAACGGGAATCTGTTTTGTCGTTGTAGAAAAATTAGTAACATTTCAAGAGAGAATATTTTCTTAACGATATCCTCAAACTGTTTATAATCCTTTATAATATTAAAAAAAAATGTAATCCAAGTACATAGAAGTACTAAATTCCTACATTTTTAGATCCATTAAAATTATAGGCTTATCATCTTTAGAAATATTTTTGAAAACCCTGTGTTTTTTTGCCAGTAAACAGTGTTTATTTAAATAATAAAACTCTAGTGGTTTGTTTTAAACAAGCTTACCACAAGTTAATTCATCTTCACCATCACTACAATCTCGATCCTTGTCACATACAAAAGCCATTGGAATTTGACGACCATCTCGTCTACAACTAAACATTCGATCTTGACAACGTTCTGAAGCTCGTGCTTATAAAAGAATTGAGAAAAAAATACTTTATTTAAATTTATACCATGAATACTTTGCAAATGTTATGAATAGACCAACATGTTCAATTAATAAATTGGTGAATACAAATTGAAATACTTAGAAATGATGTAGAATTCGATAAGTACGTTAATATCTGAATGGTTGCACGTTAGGGAACACAGAAAACACACTAATAATATTAGCTAGAAGAGTTATCGAATGGCTTTTATGGCAATATCTTTGAATTTACAGTAACTGTTTAAAACTATGTATATTTTGTATAGTTTCAATAATGTACATTATTGAGAAAAATGGTAATACCTTTAAAATCTATCCATTTTATTAATTACCAAAGATAATCGACAATATGAATAACTCTTACGCTTGCCTAGTTCAATAATACAAGGTTTAATTTCAAATTGTTAAGATAAAAAAACCATTTAATTAAATCTAGTAATAACTGTGTTAGGAAGGTTATATTTTTGGTTTCTGTCTAAAGGATAGACATTTTATTCTGTCTATCATTTGATTATAATTACACCGTAGTTATAAAAATCAATTGGTCAGTCAAGTGGTCTAACATCAGTCGGTTCATGATCTCAATCAAAAACATAACAATCTCCATAACACCCATACTGATAATTACCATAAGCTCACTAATGAATAGCTTCGTGAGGGAATTCTCGGAGTTCTAGTGAGAAGCCGTGATCAGTGGAGCTAATTCGTGTCGGTTAGAGACAGGTATCTACCTCAGTACAATGGAAGATGGTCGCGCAATTTCGTGGATTGATTGGGGCAACACATTAACATAATTGGATGCCGGCTAAGTGGCACAGTAGGTTAAGCGTTCGCGCGCGAGACTGAAGGCCCCGAGTTCGAATCGCGCAAGCGGGATTGTGGATACATACTGCTGAGGACCCCTAAGATAGGACGAAAAGGCCGTCTAGTGCTTCCAGGTTTTCAATGGTGATCTAACATCAATCGGTTCATGATCTCAATAAAATACTTAGTAATCTCCACAACATCTATACTGAGAAGTATATAATTGTAGGGTATAGTACAAATATGATTTGTCTTTTCTAAGTTTGTTATTTGGTATATAATATGGATTTACTCATGATAACAACCAAAAATCTTATTCTACCATCCTCGAAAGAAAAAAATTTTCCCACAGATATCTTGTCGACTTAGATCATTTGCTTTGTCCAATGAAATCTCGCTAAATTCAATTAGTTCATTTCTCTCAATAATTTTATACGTTACATCGGTTTGCATTTTATGGTTAATTATCAGCTATTTCTTTTTGGATTAAATAAAATCTAACAAAAAAGAAGAATATCGTGTGCAGGATAATGGATGCGCACTGCTGAAGAGTCCTACAATAGGACGAGACAGCCATCCAATGCTTCCAGATTTCCTATGATGGTCTAGCTCCAATTAACTAATGATCTCAACTATTGAAAAATGAAATAAATTGTTTTTAATTATTACTTCAAAACAATCAGATCACGTATCTAGAATAACTTTACTACAATTTATTGATATTATTCACACACTAGTTGACTATCATATGAATAATTTTCCGGCCATTTTTAAAAAATCATATTCAGTTCTTCAGTTTCTAAGGGCAATTTATCATATAGAATATGATTTGATAAAACAATAAATCAAAATTTACTATAATCTATCCAAAAGATTTCAATACATAATAAATAAATTTATTATGAATGTATATTTTAATTTAAAATTGTTCATTTGTTTACCTTCACAATTTGATTCATCAAAACCATTTCCACAATCATTTTCACCATCACAAGTCCAATGTACCATAAATGTTGATACTGTCGATTCTTTTCCTTGATAATATTCACATTTTCTTGAAAGTGGATCACAAATATCTAATGAATAGTTGATGTAAAAAGTAAATAAATAAACAAGCAAAACAAAACAAAATTACAGATATTTATTTGACGAAAAATTAAGTTATTCAAGAAAGTTCAATGATAATTTTCTGACAATTAGATACTACTTAAATAGCTTTTTTAAATATATGATTTAAATACATGAAATACTGGAAATCAACTTATGCTGTTTATATCTGTTATCTCTTCAGAGATATTTTTATACTATACAAGATTAGTAATAGAGATAATAATTTTGTCTATAAAAGACTATATTCATCGCTAAACAGATAACTTTAATGAGTGTGAATGAGAAGAATGAACATTGTTGAAGATGTATTGCTCAATGAACAATTGGTAAATGACTACAATTACTTTATTATTAAAGTGATTTCATGAATAATATACCATGCGGATTATAAAAAAAACAATGAGAATATCGCTAAAATGTCTAAAAATCTTCAGTTGTATGCACAGATTAGTATTGATACATGGTAATGATATGTGATAAGACAGAAAAACACAGCATCTATATTCTGTCGGAAAATTAGTTTTATTTGTGTTTTGTAGAGGGTTTCTTTAAACCATTGGTTAGAAAATAATTTGGAACCTCGCCCATATTGTATGAAGAATTTGATGGAGTGATTGGGTGAATCTAGTAGATGTTGAGATATTCGTGACATTTCTCTTGATAAATTGTGTGCTGTGGTTCCGGGGAGTGCTACCATTGAACGTAGTAGCATATTTGATTTGTGTATTTTTGACCTACCGTAGAATCAAAGGAGTAATGGTGCACTGAATTTCATTCTCCATTAATCTTGTTTTGATATTTGTCCTGCTTTGACGAGCTTATTTAAAAACTTTGAGATTCGGTTGTCCAAACTTTTAAGTGGATTTGCATCCATTGGTTTGTATACGCTTTTATTCTTAAGTAGTTCCTCGGCTTTCTTGATATATTCTTCTTTGTCCATAATCACTGTTGTGCATCGTTTGTCCACTGAAACTATGACAATATCTTCTCTCGTTCTGAGTTTTTTCAAAGCTTTTTGTTCTTGTGAAGTCAGTTGGGTGTTATGTTTCACCCGTCAAGTTAGCGGTACCATAGTTTGTCTTATTTTCTGTTGAGTTTTTCCACGGCAGTTTTGAGTGACGACTCCAGTTCTGAGGCGTTACTTGTATTGTAGTTTAGTCCCTTTCGGTGTAAGTGTTCTTTTATGTTTGTTAACGGTTTTTTTTGACAAGTTGTTTGTGCTTTCTTCTGCACATATTATTAGTTTTCTAAGTGTATGTTGTACATATATATGTAGTATGTCTGTATGTTGTAAAAATTTCATTTATATTCAATAACTTTAGTTCTCTGAACAAATACGAAAGCCAAATACAATTTAGATTCCTCATTCGTTTACAATCACAAATGTTCAGACTAAAGATTCTGTTAAATTTATATTGTTGATGATATTTGGAAAAAAAGAATACCATTGTTAGAGAAAGTATTTTTGCAAAATCTTTCTCTTTTTCTCTTCCAGGTTAATAATATATTTCTAACATTAGGAGGCTTGGAAAAGTAACCTCATCAACAAAATTAAATGTAAGAATAAACTGCAACGGTCAAGATATTATCTGATTATAGTGTTATTTCGATAATTAGTGTACAGTTCAAAAGCCTTATATGTCGGTCAGTTTATCATGTAAGTAATTATACGAAGAGGGTGAATCTAAATTCAGGCATAAGTTAAGTTCCCGGAATCGACTAATCATAATAACATAGAACAGGTTGGTAAGTTTAAATTATTCTTTGTAATTTAATTTTTTCAGTCAAATCAACAAATTATTTGTCCTACTCACTGCACATTTTAGGATCTTCATCTGAACCATCATCACAATCCCTCACTCCATCACAGAATCTTCCAGCTGGTAGGCACTGACCGGAACGACAGCGACGAGAACCATCTGGACAGATATCTTCAACTGTAATTATTGCTGATGTCGGTTTACTTGGTTCCTGCAATCAAAATTTAAAATTAGTGTAAATAAACTGACACAATAATAATTTCATTTAAATGATTGATCATTTCATGTTTTCAGTTTTCATGTTGAAAAGTTTCTTAAGTTCATAAAAGCAAACAAAAACCTACATTATAAGTCATAAATCACTGTGTAATTGATAACCAAATTTATTAACAATTTGTATGACCACACAAAGATTGAAACGGTAATGGTGTATAAAATGAACTAATTCCTTTCATTCTCTCTTTGTGAGAAAATGGATAAACTTCAAGCAAAGTAATAGTAAACGATCATTAGTCTATCTTCTGTATATTATTAAGATAGTTTACTTCAGTTAATTGATATCAATTGATGAATAACTATTTGAAATTAAGGGACACTTAAAATGGTTTCCCAAAAATTTTAAAAACAAATAATCATTTTCATCCATTTTCATTAAACTACTGTTCGTATTTAATTGTCCATCTTCAAAATTTAAATGCAGAAATACTTTCCTATTCAACCGAATAATTTACGGACATATTACAAGAATAAAAGAATTGTCATTTCAGATTCTTATAGTTATTATTCCGCTCAGACTACGTTTATGCAGTATATATATATATATATATATATATAATTTAGTTCGGAACCCATTAACATTTGACATCATTTCATTGAATTAGCAACCAATAGAAATCAAACATGTTTTTATGAAACTGATCAATAGTGGGAAATATTCTGTTCAATGTTTGAAGTAAATTTCTTTTCTTTTTGTTTTCAGTTAGTGATTAAACATTTTAAAAGTACTAAGTTTGAATATTGATCAAAAATTGTTTGATTTTTGTAAAGGGGATTTAGTTTTTGAAAACTCTTCATAAATATACAATAGATTACTGGGTGGACTACCTTTAAATAGCTCAAAAAATAGTACAAAAAACATTACTGGTATATAGTTTCGACCGATTGATTAATCAGGTTTTGTTGAAGCCCAATTGAATTACTGTTGCATATTTATAATGGTCATTTGAAACAAAAAAATATTTATATTTGTCAAATCTATGGCAATTAAAATGGTAACTATTTACCAATGTTTATTAGAATAACTAGTGAAACAATATTGGAAATTTTGTGAATTGTAATAAATATGTGTGCTTAATACTATTTATCATAGAGACGGTAAATAATTATGGCTGATATAGGATATATCTGTCTTATGATATATGTATTACGGTGATACTGTGTGCAAACCGTTTGGGAATAGGAGGATATAAATTTGCCACCTTTGGATGAAAGTGTACTTCTAAATTAATAATTAATCAAATATATATATATATATAAACAATATAATAATATATAAATATTTAGGATATTTTAGTCTTACATCTGAAAGGCATTCAACAATCGTTCCATTTTGATCTGGACCTAATCCTCGTTGCAACACAAATCTTACACGGTTTTCACTGACACGTGTAGTTTCGAAACTGATTCTTGAATCTATAACTCGAAATCGTGGAGTAAATGGAGCCGGTTGTCCATCTTCAGATGCGGCAAAACACTCAAACTCTACTGGTTGATATGGTCGAACAGTCAATCTCTGAGGTGTGATTGTCAATATGTAACTTTTTACTGCTCCTTTTTGGTTAAAAAAACAATTGAAATTCGGTATAAAACATTTAAATATGACATGTGGACTATTAAGACAATCTTTCATGGTTATTTTGTGTTATCCTAACAGATTCATGGAACTTGGCACTTTCAATTTTATCATTCCTTTTATTGATTGATATTCAACTGTTTGAAGGATATTTTACGGTTCTTAGGATTAAAATTTCGATTAATTATCTACCTTACACTAACCAAGAGCTATTTAGTGAACCCTTTAACAGGATTGGTATTTAAAAGAGACTTCTTTATATAATGTATTGGGAGTAATTGCTGACTTTATAACGGTCTATATGTATCTGGATGCATAGAAGGAATTTCTTTAATGACGATAAAGTTAGAAGTAAATAGCAAATTAACAAACTGGATATCTACAGAACGATAGCTTGAAGATATCATTTTCATAGCATTTAATCTTAAAACAAGTTGAAATAACTACTAGATTCTATAATACTTTATGAAGTCTAAATTCTTACATAAAGACAACCTACTGTCAAGTTTGTCTACTAACCATACTACACTACTAAGCCGTAATTTAAATACTCCTAATGGTTGCAAATGAGGAATCACAATAATTCTCACGATATTGAGTAATTCTCATATTGAATTGACCTTTTTTCAATTTTAGATATTTCAATCTATATCACCATTTATTTATTTAAATAAGGGTGATTGTTTCCAATTCCAATAATATTTTGCATATTTTAGAGACTAAATAAAATATAGTCCTAAAAGATTTGTTTGTACAGACTGACAAATTTATCCCTTTCAGAGAGTCAGATGATATCAAACAAAATATTGTGATGATCGAGCTTTCTAATACTTACAATCCATCTTGAATTACTGACCCATGAATTCCTATTATTTTACGATCAAAGAATTTCAAGCAAATAAAATGTTATACAAGTGAAACCTTACTATGACATTAATTCGGTTGTGGAATTTAAAATAGTCTAAGCTCCTATAATATTTGTTGATATTTCCAAATTCTACAGTCAAAAGTCCTATCTAAAGATCATCAATAAGCTTTTAAGATTTTAATGCAGAATGAAAACATTTTCATTCTCCTACTCCAGTTTAAAAGACACCTTTCAATTTATTCAACTGCAAGAAAAAGTGGACATTTCTGATAAATTCATGGTTTTCTTTGATGTACCATTATTATTCACTACAATCGCATTAGAGGAAACCAACCAGATAATAGGTCAACACCTTGCCTTAAAGATGAATTTAAATAGCTTCTACTAATATGTACTAGAATTATTCAGTTTAGATTCAATAAAATCTTATATCATCATATTGATGGAATGGTTATGGGTAGCCTACTGGGATCAATCGTGGCAGATTCCTTTATGAGAAACTTGATATGTGCTGGGTTAGTTGATTTTGTGTTATGAGTTGCATAACTATAACACGTAAATATTGTTTCTACATAATTTTGCCTCTATATTCTCAGTTATTTATTCTAGAATATTTTTATTTTTAACTTATACATTAGCATTAATTAACATATGAACATCGCTTTTTGTTCTTTCATACTTATAACCTTTTTCATTAATTTTCATGGAAGAAAACTCCTCCGAATTTTATGATATAAAGTATGCACAAAGATTTTTAAAGATTAATACTATGGTGCGTGCTACTTATATTGATATAAGTAGTATGTAACTCGAGTCAGAAATGTAATGTCTGGTAGCAGAAGTTGGGGAAGGTCAAGAAAGGAAGAGCGGGAATAGAAAGCAATTAGTATGGAAATGCAAGAACACTGAAGTTTGAGACAATTATTGAACATTTTGCAAGTTAAGTATTATAGTATGGTTTTCTATTTTATCAAGTAACTCCGTAATTTTGTGCTAAATATAATTCGATTGACCCCACCCGTGTTCTGTTCACTATAATACTACTATGTTTAAGTTGTAAACAGCTAACAAGAAACAGTAAAATAATTTCATGTTATTCTGCTACTGTCATCATTCTTGGTTTAGTAAAATTTATAAATGGGTTGAATTGTATAAAAGTTTTGTAAGTTTGGTCATTACAACTGTAAGGAAACATTAAAATGTTAGTCTACCAAGTAGATTGCAATTCACTGAAGTCTATTATAAACTAAGTGTATTGTTTTTTGTTTCTGTACTTTTGTGGAGTTTTACATTTGATAATTTAATGAAATGATTATTTAAAGTTGATGAAATTTTTCTATTTTATTAAATTAGGATTATTCAAAGCAAGTTATTTGACAATTCATTGTATCAGAAAGGGGTTTTGTGGATATTACAGTAGTTTAATAGTTGAGTTCATGAACCATATGAAGCTAAGACCACAATTTTTTATTATTTTAACACATAAACATTGGTAAAAAGAGGTACAAAATAGATATGCTCCATATAAATCATTTGATTTGTGTGAGGGCTGGGATACTGCCCAGGTGCACAAACTGAAACAGGTGGTTCCCGGAGCATTCGACCTAGAGGTCTCATCCACAAGGCAGTGGAGTAACGTCAGGAGATGCAGTCCTATGTTAGCCGGTGATCAACAATAGGTTCATATGCTATATGTTCCTTTAGGATCCTGAGGCTCATGTGCACCATTCATTTAAAATCAGGGTTTTCCAACTCCCCTAGGTGGTTTCTCCATATCCACCAACTTGGTTAAAGCGCCGGATATTCACTTTTCGTCCTCTCAGTTTTGTAAAAAGCACCCCTTTCGCGAGAAGGCAGTGAGTACGAATTCCCTGGTTGTATGCGCGTGGCCATGTGAGACCACCATGGGAAACCTGAGAGCGCTGGACGGCCGTTTTGTCCTTTGTATTTTCATGAATTTTCACAAATTAAGTTCATGTATAAAACGCGTATCTATACTTAACAATTAATCATTAACTTAAGAGTTAGTCCAAAGCAACTATTAATTACTTTAATGGGTAAATATTTAATTTAAAATTATTTTATTAAAATTTAGCTAAATTACATAAATTAACTGTCTTTAGTCTAAGAGAGAAAGGCATTTCTTTTTCCCCTTAGCCAAATGATTGTCAGCAACTAAAGTACGGCAACCGTAATATTGTTATTATTGTTATCATAGTATTTATGTGTTAGTGACCTTTTCCATTCATCTGCATTATCATTACTATTTTCGATATGAATGTTACCAGTATATATATGGTCAAAATCAACATACTGAATGTTAAAAAACATGTGATCGGCTTATTAGTTTGTGTTAACTTCAAATCAACTGTTTTATTGAGTAAAGCGGGAGATTTGAAAGGTAGAAAGAATGTTTACTTATATGTTGAAGTGAAATATGATGAAATAAAAATAGTTCAGATAAACAAAGTTAGTCGGAAACAATTTTTTTCTAAAGGCATATATATATATATATATGTAGGCGGGAGGTTGGATATTGTGCAAAGTTTAACTTTATGTCATGTATATGACAGGCAATCCTGTTTATTTAGAGGCTTTTAGTTGCCGACTATATCTAACATTTAAGTGAAGTTCAACATATTATATTAAATATTGATGAAGTTTTCCTTTTTCATTTTACTGTTCAGTATTATAGGTCTATGAAAAACCAGATCAAGTTAAAATAGTATAATGTTTCAAGTTATAAAGACTGTTAAAAAAAGTAAGTGAATTTTTTAACTTACTAACAAAAAGTTTTCCGACAATTTCTTCATTTTGAGATGGTAGTCTACAAATATATTCACCTTGATCAGCAACACGTGCTCTGCTTTTACTAATAAAACTGGTATGTTGAGCAACTAGATCATCATGACGCATAAAACTATCAGGTGTATCAACATCAAGACGTACACGTGTGGAACTATAAAATGGTCTATAATACCATTCTAATTGACGATTAATGTTACCATCCATTCCATGTACACGACAATGAAATTCTACTGCTTCACCTTCATCAACTGTATCCGATTTTGGATTGATTTCCAATCCTTCTTCAGCTGTTTAATAAAGAAAAATCTTAATTAGTAAAAATGCATTTTAATCACAAAATATCTTTCGTTCTAACGTATAGCTTTTATTTTACTTTGCTAGCTAAGATTAGGTTATACAACACAGATGATGAATTTTATAGCAAAAATGAGCTACTAAAAAATTCGAAATCTCATTCATTGAATTTAGAATATAATATAGGTTCTATAGACTATCGTAAACCGGAACGACCAGTGAAAAGCAGGGAGGGCAAAGTAATCACCAACATCGAAGAACAGCAAAACAGTGTAGAACACTTCAAAGAACTCTTGAATCGACCGGCTCCACTGAACCCATCCAACAGCAAAGTAGCACCCACGGACCTCTCAATCGACGTTGACTCACCAACAATTGAAGAGATCAACATGGCCATAAGACAAATCAAGAGCGGCAAATTATCAGAATCAGACAACATTCCAGCATAGGTACTGAAAGCAGATGAAGCAGTAACTGCAAAGATACTCCACATTCTCTTCAGGAAGATTTGTGATGAAGAACAAGTACCAACAGAATGAAAAGAATGACTTTTGGCCAAAATACGAAAAAAGCGATTTCAGCAAGTGTGAGAATTATGGAGGCATTACTCTTCTCTCAATACCAGGAAAAGTCTTCAACAGGGTTGTGTTAAACAGAATGAATTACTCCGTATACGCCCAACTTCGAGACCAACAGGCAGGATTTCTTAAGGATAGATCGTGTACAGACCAAATCGCAACTCTACGGATCATTGTGGAACAATCAATTGAATGGAATTCATCACTCTACGTCAACTACGTTGAATACGAAAAAGTATTTGATAGCGTGGGTAGAACAACACTATGGAAGCTTCTTCGACACTAAAGCGTGCATCAGAAGATAGTCAATATCATACGGAATTCCTATGATGGATTGAACTGCAAAATCGTGCATGGAGAACAGTTGAAAAACTTGTTCGAAGTAAAGACCGGTGTCAGACAAGTTTGCTTACTCCTACTCTTCCTATTTCTCCTGGTGATCTACTGCATCATGAAGACGTCAACATCTGAGGGGAAGCATAGGATACAGTGGACAGCTGGGATGCAACTGGACGATCTGAACTTCGCAGATGATCTGGCTCTTCTATCCCAAACGCGACAACAAATGCAGGAGAAGACAACCAGTATAGCAGCAGCCTCAACAACAGTAGGTCTCAACATACACAAAGGGAAACGTAAGATTCTCCGATACAACACATCATGCAACAATCGAATCACACTTGACGGAGAAGATTTGGAAGATGTAAAAACCTTTATATATCTGAACAGCATCATTGATGAACACGGTGGATCTGATGAGGATGTGAAGGTGTGGATCGGCAAAGCAAGAGCAGCATATTTACAACTGAGGAACATCTGGAACTCAAAGCAACTGTCAACCAATATCAAGGTCAGGATTTTCAATACAAATGTCAAGACAGTTCGACTGTCTACTGGGGCAGAAACCTGGAGAACTACGAAAACCATCAACTAGAAGATGCAATTGTTTATTAACAGTTGTCTACGGGAAATAGTTTGTATCCGTTGGTCAGGCACTATCACCAACAACCTACTGCGGGAGAGAAATGGAGACAGACATGAGAAGAATGAACAAAAATTGGGTAGAACTGGAAAGGAAGGCCCAGGACAGAGTGGGTTCGAGAATGCTGGTCGGCGGTCTATGCTCCATTGAGATTAAAAGGCGTAAGTAAGTAAGTAAATAATAGGTCCTACGGAAGTTTGACAAGGATCGAGGTTTGAATGAAATATTTATTTGCTAAGTCAATGCTATCTAATGTTGTAAACACAGTTTATTCATAATGGGTATAGAATGATTCCTGATTTTTTTAAATGTCGTTTAATTTATTTCGATACAACTAATTAGATTTCAATTAATCTTGATAACCTTAACTTTGAAGATCTCGAAAATTAGATAAATCAGAAAATTACTTGTCAATTATGTAATGCGAATGCTTCATTTAATAATGTTCACTTAATAATTTTTATTATTACACTAGAAACTTGTATTATGCTAACATCCCTGTCTCAACAACAGCCAGACTGCCAGTTGTAATATTTACTAAGTTTTATAAATCTATTTTAATTAAGGCAGTTATATTACATAGTTTTGTTTAAAGTGAATTTACTGGTCTTACAAGAGTTGTCTTATGAGAAGATAGGCTTACCTCTAACAACTAAATGTGCTTGTTTTATATCACGACCAATTCTGCACTCGTATGTTCCTCCATGATCATATTCTATGCCACGAATTGTCACAATACTTACTCTTAAACGATCGATACGAAATATTTTGCCTGTAGCATTCACAGTTGGATGATTCTCTAATAATTGATTTTCAAAATACCACCTAACATCTCTTGGATTAGCTACAGGAAATTCACAGTGAAGTTCACGTGTTTCTCCAGGTAAAGAAACCATAACTGAACCAGGCGGAGGACTCATTTCTACAAATGTAAAATATAAGTAAAGTACATTTAACGTGTTTTCAAGACTGATTAATATCTGTTATAAGTCTTTTTATAGTTTGTTATGAACAAAGAAACATCTAATGATGTTATGACTCAATAATTTCTCCATGATTAATAACTAATTTATCAAATAAATAATAAGCAAGCTTAAATTTTAAGAAGATAATGAAACATGTTTAATTAACTGATTTTGTCTGTTTCTCAAACTAGCTAGCTAACTTTTAATGATACATACTCCAGTGATTATCTGTGGTGTTGCAAGAATCGGATCTCTTCTAGAAAAACAAGATTTTTTAGTTCACATTTCCATTAGTTGTGACTTTAAAGATTCTGAAATGGGTCTCTCTGTTTTAATTTCCTCTACTTAAATGATAGTGAATGATATGGAAATAAAATCAATTTATTCAACATGGATGAGTGTCGCTGACATTAGGCAGTAATACACTATACTTTATGTGAATAGCTCCGGATTTGCAAAGCACATACATAATTCGATATATAAACTTTTAACAGACAAAACTCCTTGAATTAATAAATACAACATAGTAATAAGTAAGTTAGCTGAATGATTTACTTGTTTTAAAACTTCATCGTTTGATATAAAAACCTAAATTAACTAGCTAGAAATTGTTACAACTTGTAGCCTGTGTGCCCTGTTAATGTATAACGTAACGACACCGCCAATTAGAGAGCATTAAATTGTCGGTCGGACCAATAACTCGTAAAACCCTTACGAGCAGCCTAGAGTCCTGATTGGTCCTGCTTTCCGCCTAGCCCAGCCAGTTAAGTCCAGAACACCAATCTCAGCCTCTGCGATATGAATCATTCATTTCAAGTATACTGAGTTTATATACCAACCAGACAGACCACACCGTACCATAAAATATGAAACAACATTTGTACAAGAATTAGCCAAAAGTGGCTGTGAATGAGGGAGGTAGTAATTAATAGACAGGGCATAATTCAAGAATGGTAGATCGTATAGTAATAGTTCATAGGTCAAAATAAAGCTTATGATAAGAGGAATATGAATGTGAACAGTTTAGTTATTTAACAATTATACGATAAAAATATAGGCATATTATTGATCCATAAATGGATCCCAAAAGTTACCATTCATTATGCTTATCGGAACCTAACAGAAATTGAGCATGCTTTGTCAAGACATACTGTTATCATTTCAACCGTCCTGATATTTTATTGCTTAACATAACAATTCCAATAATCAAACTTGTTAATTCAGTTATATATGTTATCATAAGGACTGTTTGTTCTTCAAACTAAAGGTGGTCTTTTTATGTTGTGATGTGTAGATTTATATGTTTAGTACGAAGAACTTACCAATTTTTGTTTCTCGTGTCAATGCCAAACTTAATTCAGCTGTTGCATTAGCTGATATAGCAGTACGTGAATATCTTGGTGTCCATTCAGCTCGACATATATACATACCTATATCACGATACGATAATGAATTCAAACGTAATAATGCTTCACGATGCACAACTTTGGCATTATGATACCATACAAAACTTATTGGCTCTTCCGGCTGCGGTTCAACTTCACAAACCATTTCATACGGTCTGCCAATGATGACTTCACCAGTAATTGGTCGAATATTAACAATATGCTGCATAGCTATAATGATTGTTAAATAAATAATGTTGTTCATAATTAATATCATATTGAAATAGATCCATAGTAATATTGAAAAAGGCATTCTTTTGCAAAACAGCCTCAGATAATTTTCACTTATTTGGTAAAAATTTTAAATGCTTACATGTAATCAGTAAATTCCTTATAAATATTCGTCCAAACATTTGCTTTAACGAGTAACTATGCTCACCGCCATATAGTTCTATTTACTCATGGATCAAAAGCCTAAATTAATAATAAGCATTATTTATTTGTAGAATACTTGCAAAATAATGACTTCTAAGTAACATTTACATGACGATTGTTTCTGAAGAACTCTTGAAGTGGTCAGTTTATATAGGTAAGTGATTGTTATTAGTACTTGAGTTTCCATTGAAATACATAGACTTTTTTGATAACATGTCTGTCGTTGGTATCTCTTTGACCAATTTCATAGTATAACAATACTAGGAATTTGTGAGATTGAACTATTGTTTCTTCTCCTACATTTTATCTTCATTATTCATAGCACAGTCATATTGTAGTGAATGGGATCTCAGGTGGGGAAAACCACTTTATATTGTAATTCAAAATTATAGAGTGCCTTGGTAAAATTTGAAGTACCATATATTAAATACTTTATTTGTACATCTTCCAACAGTTGTCTCTTACAAAATTCATCGTTCATTCATTTCTGTTTTTACTACAATTACGATCTGATTACATTTTTATTATCTTCAATTCTATCTTCTCAACCTTTTGCTGCCAGGCATTTCACTTCTGATTGATGTTACATACTACTTATGTCGACAAACATAAGTAGCATATAACGCAATATGATGGACAATTTGAACAAACAACTTCATTTAGAAGTCCATTATCTTAGTATTAATACGTTAATTAAAAATAGTAGAATATTCGTTTAGTTGTGAACATTTATACGATAAACATTATATTCACTAAAATCTAACAGCATTTAGAGACTAGAGAGGCTGAAATGGTTGCTTTGGCATTGTCTAAGAGTTTACAAAAATGTGAACCAGTGAACATAGACAGATCTCAATAAAAAACTTAATAGTCTCCACAATACCTATACTAGTAATTGGCATGTGCTCACTAGTGACTAGCTTCGTGAGAGAATTCTCGGAGTTTTAGTGAGAAGCCGTGATCAGTGGAGCTAATTCGTGTCGGTTAGAGACAGGTATCTACCTCAAAACAATGGAAGATGATCGCGCAATTTCGTGGATTGGTTGATGTTAGACACTATCACCATTGGATACCGTCTCAGTGGTCCATTAAATAAAGTGTTCGCGCGCGAGGCAGAAGGCCCTGGGTTCGAATCCCGTGAGCGGGATCGTGGATGCGCACAATAGGACGAAAAGGCCATCCAGTGCTTCCAGGTCTTTAATGGTGATCTTATATCAATCGGTTCATGATCTCAATCAAAAACTTAACAGTCTCCACAACCCCTATACTAGTAAATAAAAACATAGAGAGTACATCAAAAGTAATGAGCCCGAGACAAATGTATATATCTAATTTTAGTTAGTTAGCTATATGATATGATGATAATTCAGTGTCATAGTATATGACTACTTCAACTACTATATGATTGAGTTACAATTAATACGTTATCATGGAAAGATCTATTGAGTACCTTTTGACTTGTATTCATTTTCTACCTGATGCTAATCAACTAATACCCCAAAAAATATCCTCAATTTCATGAACATGATCAAATCTCACTAAAATCTATTTGTAACAATTTAATCCTAAATAATTATTTAGATTCAGATTTTATTGAACATAACTTTATCATACATAGACGATTATGTTATCCATAATAATGATTTTTTGAGACAGAAATGTGTTAATCAATATTAGTTATAAATACATTCCGTATTTAGGTAAAGTAAAATGTTTCTTTCACCTAAAATATATTCATGTGAATAATACTTATAAACCTTATAAAATGAATGATTATGAAAACCAGATTTTGTCTGTAAACTACTTCAAATACCAAAAAAAAAACACAATCACGGGAATTTTCAATGAATTGACATAAAAGTGTATTTCTTCTTCTTCTTCTTCTTTTTTGCTTCACTTTAGTTTATAAGCCCTTAAAATCTGAAAATTTGGCATCATCATTTAGAAGTTATTTGTGACGTCTATTCAATGGCCTACGTTTGGGGAACAACTTCATTCTTTGTTATTATATTTTTTGTTTTAAAACCATTAATAGATACATTTGATAATAATCGTATTACATTTACCACTCCATTGAAATGTAATTCAACTTAGGGCGAGACTCTAATTTAGGGACGAGCCAATCAGAAGCGTTTGAGCAATTTCAAGGTCACGGAGCCAAGTTCAACACGCGATGCTAACATACGATCGGTTTGTAACGGATTTTAGAGAAGAGGTGATTATTGAGAGGCTACAACCCTAACCCTATTGAGAGGCTACGTTTCCAACCGTGAACCTAATCCTAACCCTAACCATAACCCTAAACTTACCCTAACCGACCCCTTACCCTAAACCCTAACCCTCTGGACGAGTTTCTATACGGTATGCATTATGAATTCAGAACCTCTGAACCTTTGTCGAACCTTAACAAGTTTTTAACTCATGTAAAAGGAGAATACGCACTGTAATTCATTACTTTCCCATAAGATATTTTCACTTTATACTAACTGTCTTCTGATTGGCTAATAATTGTCAAGGTCACTTAAGATTCGTTCAAGGGTCGTCCCTAAAATTAGAGTCTCGCCGAAAGTAGATAAAAGGCAAAAAGAGAAAAAAGAAAAACAACGATCGGTTACTTCCTTTTTTTAATATGAAACTCCATAGCACTATAGTACAATTATCTAATCCTTAAATTACTGATATATGTCATAAAACACACTATAGTGTCAAGTAATTATTCTGATGAAACTATATTATTTAGATGACGAAAAAGTAAAACACATTCATATCATAAATCTAATTTGAATTAAATTTTCTAGTTATATAATACACAACCATAAAATTCAATTAAGCTTATTTTAGATGTGTATAATAGATTTTAGATGAAAGAAAAAAAAGGAAAAAAGAAAAAGAGAAATATTTAATTGACAGTTACATAGGTAAACTATTTGATTCCGGTAACTACTATAGATTAGAATTCTTTTTTTACATTACAGAATATAACACATGGATACTTTATATGAATTATGATTTAATTTTTTTTCTTGTAATGTTTCCTTTCTTTTTTGATTTAAAATTGTCATAAGGGGTTTGTGGAGATTTTAGAAATTTCACAGATTGAACTCATGAGTCAATTCCAGCTAGACCACCGTGGAAAATCTGGATGCCGGCTCAGTGGTCTGGTTGGTTAAGCGCTTGGCGCGAGAATGATAGGTCTTGTGTTCGAATCTCATGGGGTGCGGGATCGTGGATGCACACTGCTGAGGAGTTCCATACTAGGACGAAACGGCCGTCTAGTGCTTCCAGGTTTTCCATGGTGGTCTAGTTTCAATTGACTCATGAGTTTAATCTGTGAAAATTGTCGTTTAACTAATTAAAATTAATCAATAAATAGTTAGATAATTCACTATTATCCGCAGTCTAGTGGAAAATATGAAATATAAATCAGGAATAAAATGAACAGAATTTTTCTTCTTTCTTTTTGGTTTTACTTTTTATTAACATGACGAAAAATAACAGTTGACATTATTGTTTGCTTTAAATGAATAATCAGCTTTGTAGAAGATTTGCTTTGCTTAAAATGATATATATATATATAATCGACTTGATTGTGTTTATTGAATGAATAGTATAGTTTGTGTGCATATGTATGTGTTATGTTGCTAAGCCGTTGAATACATATCTACTTGAAACATAGACAACGTAAATTGACTCGTTTTATATTTTAACATATTATTATATATTATGGATTATATATATATATATATATATATATATATATATATATATATATATATATATATATATATATATATATATATATATATATATATATATATATGTTTCTACTGAATACTGAACATCTAACATGGAATAATTATTATGATCTTTTGGCTGGGAAGAATTGACGTACCAGTTAATGCCTATTTATGAACTAGTTGATGATGAATCAGCAAAAATGTAGTTTTGCAAACAATAATAATAATAACTATTTCTGCTGTGATATAATCACCATCATTTGAAGTAAAAATAAAAAAAACGCTCATAAATTTGTTTTTTTCTTCTTCTTCCTACATAGGATATTCTTGTGAATGTTCCTGTCTGTATGTAATCGGACAAAATGCTAATGAATAAGAGATGAATTTAAAAAAAGTAGTTTGAAGAATAAAAGCAAAAAAATTTGGAATTGATCGGTTACAGACTTGAAATGGTAGTTTTAGGGAAAATATTATTTATGTATACAATAACACTATAAAATAAACTGATGATAAACATGACGACAGCAGAAATAACAATCAGGATTGTGAGGAGGATGGTTATTGTTATAACGTTTTGATAACAATTTTGATTAGTATAGAGTGACACAATAACTTACACTTCAAACAGTTTAGAACAGAATTGATGAACAGTGCATAAATACATATATATATGTAATTTTGACTGATGTAGTTTAATAATGTTTCATGCATAACAAGTAAACTGATAATAGTGAACAAACCATAAACATTTATCATCTTATAATTGATTAGTAATATAGATATTATACGGTAGAATAGATTATTATATGGAGAATATTAGTTGTTTAAGGTAACTATTTACAATTACTATTTTAAATATCATTTATATAAATCAAATAAACCGTTATTAATCAGTGATTTGATTACAATATGTTTAGAGTTTTAATTTAGTTTAATTTCCCATATGATGGGATATGACAATAAGAAATAGATTTCCACATATACATCATTCATTATCTGATTTAAGTCTATGAAGTGAAAATCTGAAACTAGAAATAACTCATCAGTTTATCACCTAAA